GCTGTCTTCATCTGTACAATCTCTACAGACCCTCAACTCAATATAGTCAGTAGTGGTAGTGTTACCATAGTCTCTGTGAAACCATGGGATACCAGGAACATTACAACAAGGTGATTCAAGAGAACCACAACCTTAGAGTGGATTAGATTTGTAGAACCAGACTCAAAGAAGTATTAGTTCCCATTATAATTATTATTCTGATAAAACATCACGTGTGTGCAAAGTGGTAAGCAAATATTTTCAAAGCTAATATATGCAATCTACCCATCCGCCATTAGGATTCAACTCACTGATGAATTAATGTAAAAGATAAATGGCTCTTATATGACTATATAATTCCTTTAAAATGACCGCATGCCACAATATAGTATCTTTTTATTATAAGCCTTGTGAAGTCATAAGTAGTATTCATGTCTTAGTACACTTTGTGATTGTTTGACTAGATCTACACACTATTTGGTAATTACTACACTTAGAATTAAACTTTACTATACAAAACAACAATAAAAATTAAAACACTTGCACACTACTATATCACATGTATCTATCCCATCATATGCAGTTACATAACATAAATCTCGTAATAACTAACAGGAGTGTCATCAACATTTGAAATAGTATTATCAGAACACACCCTCAACTCAATATAATCAGTAGTGGTAGTGCTACCATAGTCTCTGTGAAACCATGGGATACCAGGAGCATTACAACAAGGTGATTCATTGCCACTGCATCCTTGACCATCCCAGAGTGGATTAGATGTGTACAGTCTAGGAGGCAATTTAATAGTATAATTACCAGATTCACAGAAATAATGGTTTCCTACAAAAGAAGGAACAGTCTGTGTGCTCCCCTTTGAACATGGACACTTAGAATGATTATAATTCCTAATAATCTCAGATAAACCACATGCTAGTGTCCAGACATGTTGACGAGGAGACCCACGAGTGATACTAACACCGTTAACATAATAAGAATTAATATCATTAAAATACGGTCCATTAAATGCATCTGCATTATAAAATCTATATCCTGCTACTCTACCACATATCTGAGAATAACTGATACCATTAGATGGGAACTGAACTGATACACAGCCAGCACCACTGGCACTCCAAGTCCTACCACAAGCTCTAACTCCTCCTGACTGGTACAGTCTAAACCCAGAAGGACAGTTCTGTGTAGCATCAGTCATATCCAGATATGCTAGTCTTGTCCATCCTCCTCCTGAACCACACAATGTTCCCATATTACAGTAAGCAGTATAAGTATTTGCCAGTAGATACAAACCTGATGGACTGTTAGGTTGTCTCTCCTTAATCTCTATGCAAGAGGTAGGTACAGCAGTTGAGTCATTGTGTAGTACTAATAGTTCTTGTGCTATTAGTAGTATATCATCAGCCACTCCAGCAGTAGAGGTACTGGTGTCTTGTAGATTAGAGAGAGCATTGACAATGTTAATGAGCTTTTGTGCAGAATCTCTTGTAGTTTGTAAGATTTGTTTATCAAGTTCAGTGAAGTTGGTATTGTTCTGAAATAGTTAAGGGTATTTTGTGATACACCATTAGCCCATTTTTTGAAGTCAGGCATTCCACTGTTATTTTTGGCACCAGCAGACATATGAGCCAGTAACAAGCAAAGGATGGCTACCAGTAGTATTACTATCAGTGACAGTAATACAGTATGGATGATTGGTTTATTCCATGTTAGCTCCTTTTTCTTCCTTTTCTCTTTATTATCAGGCTCTTCCGCTGGCCTCCTATTCTCTGTAGCTGAGACTTGACACAGCTCATATACATTACTCTCTTTGATAGTGTCCTGTCCCAAGGACTCATAAGTGAATTTATCTTCAAGCTCCATTGTGGTACAAATGATAAAGTCACAACAGGCCTCAGAATACGTAACTGAATGAAAACTTGGTATATAGATGAATACACATTTATACAGATGGGCAGATGGCAAAAATTACAATAAATTATTTATGGAACTAAATTATGAATGCATTGATAAACACATATCATTCCCATAGTCTAAGGACAATTATAGCGTTACAATAACTTGTGGAACAATAACATAGAATTATGTGGACATTACTACAGTACATGTAAAGCAAACAAGAGCAATGACAATAAACCACAGGAGAACATGTAAAATGTAAACAGCATATCATATAAACACTACAATTAGCTAGTAATGGTAAGTATTATGATTAGTACATTTTGTATGATAAGATCAATATAATCTTGCTCTTCAGAGCTCTGGTACAAACTCATGGATACCAGCAGCACTGCTTTTCTAGTGCATCACTCAGTCATATTTTGAGTTCCTTTCTGAAACTCAAAAATGGGAAGATAATATTCTTTTAGAAGCTGAGGGTCAGCAATGCTGCCACTTGCTTGATCATGTGATAGTGTAATTTGTAAGTACATGTACACTGGAGTATGCACAATGTGACGTAGAGTAAATGTGAACTCATGCAGCAATTCAATACTCACTTTATGTACATATATTACATGTACTGTACATGTACATGTATGTACTCTTGGTAAATAGCAGAAGAACACATACTGCAGCTACATGGTAGCTATTTACCCTTCCGGTAGTTCACCTTTTCCAGTACTTTACTTACAACAAACAATACACTTTAGTCAATTGATACAATACATTGTATCAATACAATAATAAGTACCGGGTATCATTGAGTGATTTGACTGCAATATGTATTAATTACACCAACAAATTATTGATTATTTTGCACAACGCAAACAAGTTAAATCATCATTGTTAATACAATATATACAAGATATAGTTTACACACACAAGTCAGTATAATACTTACATGATAATAATGGGGCGTATTCATTACTCTGATTTGAATAATTAGAAATTACAGTCAATGGGGCAGGAAGCGCATTATTAGTGCAATGTCAATGGCGATGCAGTCCAAGATAAGACCTTGTTGCCGGGTAGTGGAGCAGAGGAACTGAAAGTTGCTGGGCTCAAACACTTGCTTGAGTCCATAGGAAAGTCCATGTATGGAAGAAAAGCTGATTGCACAAATTAATGTTTACTTACCTTTCTTATAAATCAGCTTTTCTTCCATACATGGACTTTCCTATGGACTCAAGCAAGTGTTTGAGCCCAGCAACTTTCAGTTCCTCTGCTCCACTACCCGGCAACAAGGTCTTATCTTGGACTGCATCGCCATTGACATTGCACTAATAATGCGCTTCCTGCCCCATTGACTGTAATTTCTAATTATTCAAATCAGAGTAATGAATACGCCCCATTATTATCATGTAAGT